CTGACTACTAACCAGGGAGGTGAGATGGGAGCAAAGGAACTGCCCAGGGAGAACCAGAAGGGCAGGGGCAGGGAACCATATGTGGGAAGCCTTACCCAGAGCACCAGTGTATTCATTAGGCGATCAATACTTGTTCTCTTGAACTTTGTCCTGCCGCTGTTCTGCATCAGCTTAGTGTCAGGACCTAGAAAAGGATGGGAAGGGCTGGGAAAGCCAAATAACAAATCTGCCTCTGGGCTTTTGCCCTGGTCCCCAGACTACAAGACATCGGGTTGAAAGAGAAACACTGGCTGGACAAGAGGCTTATATTCAGGGCTGGCGAGTTTTTATCTTCCATATTGCACCAGCCCACTTAGCCGACCCCTACATTCCTGAGGGAGGGCTGAGTCACCAACTCTTATCCTTCTTTCCTTGGACCCAGGAGGCTCACCTGCAAAGATGACCAGCCCGAAGCACCACTCGGTGTTTCGCAGCACGCAGCCCCGCAGCAGCATGTTCTGGTTGCTCAGGGGGAGCTTGTTCTCCTTCCAGTAGAGGGTTCCGCTGAATTTGTCTAGCTTGTTGTTGGGAGGTTCGCAGATCACTTCACCTAAATGGAAGACAAGAGCGCCACTGTTCAAGGTCCAGTCTATAGCTTGACTATGAGACAACAAAACAGAGAGAAAGAGCAGCTGAGGGAGAAGTGTTAGGACACGGGCCCATCCACACACTGCTGGTGGGAGTGTGAACTGAAAGGAATGAGGCAGCATGAATTAATATTAAAAACAGACATACCCTTGGAGCCAGCAATCCCACTTTTGGGACTCTATTCTACAAAAATACTAGCATAGGTCACAATGATGTTTATTGAAGCATTATTTGAACAGCAAAAGATTGGAAACAACTGAATGGTCAGGGAATAGTTGAATAAATTATGATACATCAATTCTACGAAACATCATGCAGTTATTAAAAACAATGAGGTAAATTTCTTTATATAGTCATGCGTCACTTAATGACAGGGATGAGTTTCAAGAAATGTGTCATCAGGCGATTTCATCATTGTGTGAACACTGTAGAGTACACTTACACAAATCTAGATGATATAGCCTACTACACAGCTAGGCTGTATGGTGCTAATCTTATGCGTCATATATGCAGTCTGTCATCGATGGAAACACTGTTATGTGGCACATGACTATATAGTGATGTGATAAGATATCTATGATGAATTTAATAGATAAAGGCAGGCTGCAGAGATTTTGGTACAGTATGATCACATTGACAATGTTCACACGTGTGTATAAATATAAAGAAAAGTGTGCATGAATACACACTAAACTGCCAGTTAGCCTGGCTACCTAAGGAGGGTAGAATTGGAGAGTAGGAGGGCTTTTCCTTATACATGCTGTATAGTTTGTCTTGTTAGAAGGAATATATATCATTATTCTGAGCTGAATAAGCATAAGAAATAAGAATAAGCTGAATTTCTCTCAACATGCACAGCAAGGAGGGAGTGATCAACCACGAAGACCTCTTGAAATAACCATCATCAATTCAAAAGTAAGTGGTAGCCACCTGGCGTTCCTGACACAATCCCCCCCGCCCCCCGGCCTGAAAAAAAGACCAGGGAGCTGTAAAATCACAGCATCAAGAAGCCAAAAGGAGGGCCAGCTCCATGGCTTAGTGGTTAAGTGCGCGCACTCCGCTGCTGGCAGCCCGGGTCTGGATCCTGGGCGCGCACCAACGCACCACTTCTCCGGCCATGCTGAGGCCGCGTCCCAGTACAGCAACTAGAAGGACGTGCAGCTATGACATACAACTATCTAGTGGGGCTTTGGGGGAAAATAAATAAATAAATAAAATTATAGAAGCCAAAAGGAAAAGGTGCAATTTAAACCCCAAAACCCAACCCACCCCATCCACCTGAAAGCTGCTTCTCCAAAATTACTCACCATCAAACTTGGCAAGCTTACTGATGTCTCCCAATTCCGAGGTAACTGGAATCGCCTGACGCACTTTCATGTTGGTCTCTCTGGAAGGACAGTGTCCCTGAGTCCTGGTTCCCTTCTTTTCCTCTAGATTCTACCTGGGGCATCTGACCATGGGGTATCACTGCCCCCGTGTATTACTGGGTGGGTAATACTTCTACACATCCAAAGCCTTTCTTACCCCTACAGTTTCCAAAAGGTACAGATCCCAGACCTGGGAACCTCTTTCAGAAACAAGCTTTTTACCCCTAAGGAGGCAGAAGGAGAGGTGTGACACTGAGCATGCGACTTACCCATCGAGTTCTGCTGTCTCTATGTAACACAGCCCATGGGGCTCACTGCTGGAAAGGAGGAGGAGATCCGCCTGGAGAGAAAACCTAATGAGAAGCCCAAAGACCCAATCTGCCACCCTCGATGGACTCTGATGATGCCTCCTTCCACTAAGCATTCTGCATCTGCTTAATCCCAAGCATGTGAATGGGTTAGAAAGGAGCTAGTCCTGGGTGTATTAATATGACACAGAAGTCCTCCACTCAAGAAAGTTTCCTTCCGCGAGTGTTTAAGAGGCAATAATAAATCAGGAAAGACTCATCCCTTTCTGCCAAAGAAAAGGAAGAACCCGGCAGACCTAGAGGGGCACCTTGTCCCTTACCGCCACAAACTGGTTATTTTCTAGCTTGATAATATCACCAACACAGACATTCATCCACTGCTCTTGCTGGAGGCTGAGGCAATGAGAAGACAGAGAAGAGGCTGTCAGTAGCTAGAGAAGTTCTCAGGGGACCCCTTTCCTCCTCAAGGCCCTCAGTCTCCAAAAGGCACTCACATTCCATTGATCAGCACCTGAGACTGACGGTTATTCACCTGGTTATCACTCTTGTGGCGGAACTGAAAAGAAGAGAACTAAGAAAAGTAAGGCACCTTCTGCCACCCCAAGGGACTTAGATGATCAGTGGAATACAGAGCACGCTGGGTACTATCTTGTATACACCTGTTCACAGATCTACTCTCTCCCTGACTCCCCCTCTCTACTTCTGGCCAAGATATCACAGATCTAGCTGGACCAGGTAAGGGATGGCAAGGACACCAAGGAATTGTGCTGGGTGGAGGTGGGGGAGTTGGGAGTGAGGAAAAGGTAGAAGAATGAAAACAACTCACATAGTCATCAGTGGCATCTTTAACAGCTGTGATGGTGAGGACAAGAACCAAAGGCACAATGGTGGTGAACCAGGACAGGGACGAGATCTGTGGGATCAACTGAAAAGAAGAAATAGAAAGGCATGCCTCTGAGGCCCCATCCTATGCCCTCTTTTCCCCTAGACCTTTCTCTTCCTTGACTTTATTCAGCTTTGTGAGTTGCAAAGGGTCTGCTCCAGGTCACTTACCTGCAGAATGAGAAGGAACAGGAAGTAGGTATTGGCAACTTCCTGGAACTGCTCAAAGAGGTTGACAGGCAGGAAAGTGAGAATATTGTACTTGGAGGTCTTGATGCAGTTACTCTACGGCAGTGGGAGAAAAGATAGTGAGGCAGCCTCCAACCCCAACCCAGAACCAGATTCAGGCTGCCTCCTCCATCTACACTTCCCCAAACCTCTGCCCCCAAAAGCCAGCAACCATGGGGTGGGAGGAGGAGGAGGAGAGAAGGAAGTCTCCTGGGGTCAATGTATCTTGCTTCACTGACAGGTGAAGGCATGAAAAATTCAGCACAGTGGCAGATGAAGAGTGGCGAGGAGGCTGTCTTCCCCTCCCCCCAGCCCTCTCTCAGTCAGCCCTCAGTCCCAACCTAGGACATTCCTGTACCTTTCTCCTTTCCGACTCAGGAGGAAGTTACAGGTGATCTCAAGCCACTTACCGCATACTGGAATTTCTCATTGTATTCTCGGTCATTGGCCCGCGCCCTCCTTTCTTCTTCTGCAATAGAATGATACTGCAGTCAGGAGGAGCAAACTGAGGGCTGGCCTAACACCTTGTCAGGTCCACCCCACCTGGTGAGGTTTCCATTGAGGGCCCTTGGTTCTTTCCACAGTGTACCATTTTAAGGAGTTAGTGCCACATCTGAGGTGTCACTAAATTCTTCCCTCGTACCACTGGGCTCTGCAGGCATTACATTCACTGCACAGGCCGCCTTCTCCTTTCCTCACCAACAACCATCAAGGTCTTCCACTGGGGGCACTCAGTCCCTCTCTCTTATCTCTCTAATTAATGCCTTAGGCATTAACGGTCCTGGGAATCCCCAGAGGAATAGCAGCTGAAGACACAAAGCTTCCTTCGCCTGGGAGCTCCTGCAGATCTAGCCATGGTATTGCCCTCCCTCTGACCTGGGGGGTGGGGTGGGTAGCAAGATGGAGGGTCACGGTGCCCTGAAACTGCTCTGCCGCAGCATCCCAGCCCCACGTGCAGTTCCCCCTACAGGAGCCTCTGCTAGTCACATGTCACCAGCAACAGCTTCTGACTGGCCCACAATGACATCACCTTATTTCAAAGCTCATCTTCAAGTAGGAGAAGGGGGGGTTGGGGTCAGGGATATGGGTCATGCAGACAGAGACAGAGACACAGGAGAGAGGAGTGGGATGTAATTGAAACAGTTGCTCTCTAACTGTAACCCTTCTTGTGCCATCTGCACACATACACCCTAAACAACACATTTGTTGCTGAGTGACAAATAAGCTACATCTATCCTGAACCTCGCAGGTCCGGGACTTTAGGCACCAAGTTCAGGTCCCAGAACACACAGGTGTCCTATGAAAGGTTCTCCAGCCCATCTCCCGGGGTCACGATGACCTCAGGCTGAAAAAGTGGTGTCTTGATTAGGCAGTAAACATAACGCCTTAAACCATTCTGGGAGCCAAAGGCAGCTATTCCAGACCCCTTCCCTCACCCACTCACAAGACCCCTGCAGAGTACACTGCAGTAACAAAACCTCAGACCACAGCATCCTCTGCCTACCCAGAGCGCTCCTTCCCTGCATGGTCACTTTACTCCCAGAAACTTCCCCAGAGGGGACCCCTCGGGTTGAGCCCCCTGCGCAGTCATCAAGGACCATGCAAAGGGAAAGGTAAGGACCGGACCCTTCGGAGCCAGGATCTCTGGGTCTGGAAAGGAGAGAATCAAGGAAGGTTGGCGGAGGCTGAGGACAAGCGAGTGGGACGATGGGAGGGGGGAAATTATGGGCTCGGGAGAGCTGCGAGGCGCTGCTTCCCGTTACCTGTCCCCCAAGAGGGCTTCTTTCGGCTCCAGGAAGGAGGCACCCCGGCCCGGGCCCACTTCTCGGGCATCTCCTTGGGGACCGTCATGATCCCAGTTTGAGCGGGGAAGGGTGGACTGTCTGTCTGTCCTTTGCCTCAGTGGCGCCGATGGGGCGGCCCTCCCGGGAGGCGCAGGAGCTGCGGCCGCTCAGAGGGGATCCCCGGCCGTCGGGCGCGCGCCCCACCTGCAGCCCCCGCCATTCTCGGGGCCGCCCGCACCCGGGGACGCCGCGCGCTCAGCCGCACCGCCGCCACCCCCAATGCCCCCCACGGCCGCCGGCGCGCGCTGAGTGGCCCCGAACGCGGTGCGCAAGCCCCGGGCTCCGCCCCCGCCCGCTCCCCGGACTGCAGGGGCAGCCGCCTGCCAGCGCGCCGCGTAGGCGAAAGCCAGCGCGGAGCTCCGCCTCCCCCGGCCCGGCCAATGCGGGTGAGGGGACTGCCAGCGTTGTCGGGGGCAACCGCTTTCATCCCACCCCCATCCCCGCCCCACCCCACCCGCCTGCAGAAAAAAACGAGCAGGACCCAGGTGGATGGAAAAATGAGGGAGAAAAGGAGGGGAGGAGAGGAGGTGTGAGGACGGAAGGGAGAAGATGGGAACACAGCTCCCCAGGCCGAAGAATAGGAGCTCCAGGTGCCCCAAGATGAGTGTGTGTGTTTGGGGTGAGGGGCAGGTACTCAGCACCCTGCCGGAGGATAACACAGCTCAGGGATCAGGGGAAGAATTCGGTTTCCTAGGCTCTCTCTAGGATGGGTAGGGGTTGCAATCTACCCTCTTTCAGACTCATTACCAGTAGTCCCTCTTCCCTTTGCTCCCTGAGCTGTAACAACACCCACTCTTGATGGTCTCAGTGATCCCCCCTCCTACCTGTCTTACCTGGGGGGCGCTTTTTTGCACACAGTGCCATCTCACCCAGTAAGGTCCCAGCAATCCCATGGGAGATCCTGCAGGAAGGTGACATATGCGTGAGGTCAGGAAGCTGAGAGCAAACCTTCATTCCCTCTTCAGACTCCTCCTGAAGGTTCTCTTCTCCAGGTCTGACTGTGCCCAGCCCCCAGCCTTCCCCACCAACTCCACACCAAGACTCTGCCCTTACAACGATGGGTCACTGAGAAAGAAGAGGGGACTTCCCTACCACCTCCCCCCATGCCCCTGCCTTAGATAACAAGGAGAGCAGAGGGCTGACAGTTTACAGAAGCCAAGACCTGCAGGGAAAGGAAAGGGGCAGAGAGAAGAGGCCAGTTATTGACAGGAGGGGCACAGCTCTCAAGGTACCCATCCCAGGGACAGTGGATACCCCCATGTGCTCTCCTGGTGGCCATGAGTGGTGTCTGTGTTTACTGGAAAGCAAAATTTCCACCAAAGGGTGGGGTTGAGGGAACATGAGCCAGGAAACACCTGGCAGAGCATCAGGAAACAGGGTGGGCAGGCTCTACCCTTCTCAAAATGTTTATAATCCTCCCATCCCCCATTACTGGGGCTTCCATTATCACCTCCTCCAGGGGAGCTCACATTAGAGGCATGGCCTTCACTTCCTGCAGACAGTCCCCAACCACTTCCTCTCAGTCTGGGTCAGCCGCCCTTCTGGTCCACCAGAGGGGTCTTCCCTACCCTCCTCTGCACCTCTCTCTCCTCTAAGCCTAGTTCAGTCAGTATGGCACTAGGTGCAGGCTCAGGGAGCATAAGTCAGATGGGCCTCTGCTTCCTTCCATCTTCCCATGTCCTTCCTTTCACCTAAAAAGGTAAAAGCCCTGGCCTCGGAGATAGGGTCACAGAGCCTCAGTCTCTATTCCTCAGCATGGCCCAAAGGAAACTGTCAGCTAGGTTCTGGGTCCCCTTGTTACCTCTTCTTTTTGTCTAGGTGGAAAGCCTTCCTCCTCCTTGGTTCCCCTGTCTCCAACCTACTGGGCACACCCCGCCAGCCTGTCAGTCCCAAGAGATACTAATTGCCTGTCTGCCCAACCTCTATAATTACAGACTCTGGCCATGGCCTGTCACCCACACCAGTTCTCCCTTCACTAAATCGGACTCCCTACCTGAACCCCAGATCAGGCAAAACTGATATCCAGAAGTCCTTTTCCTCCCTGACCCTCCCCAACCCTGGCAGCCAAGGGTGCCTGGCTCAGGAAGAAAAACCTCATCCACATTTTAGAGATGCCAAGCCCTCCTCCAGGGCCCCCAGCCAGGGTCTCCACCCAGTCTAGTGTATGAGTCATGGGAGGGTGGGGTGTGAAGAGAGAGGTTAAAGGAGAGATGCAAGGGTGGGCATCACAAGTTCCATAGCCAGCCCCGCCCTCAGTGATGGAGGCAATCAAGAAACACTATCACCCGGAAGATCTGGGTTTGAGTCCTATGAAAGAGTTAATGAAGGAGCCACACATGCTTTTAGGAGTCAGGAGTTTGGACACTAACCAGGAAAGTTGTTTTACCTCTAAGACCCTGCAGAGACTGAAAGCTGGCTTGGCCCCAGACCTCATCCCCTCTGGGGGGGCCCTAATAGGAGGGAAAGTGAGGGGGAGACCTGGAAACAGGGACCCTCTCTCACTTCTTCCCAGTCTCGCACAGCCTGGGTTTTCTGAACCGTCAGGCCCATCAGCCACGTCGCCCTGCCCCGTCGCCCTGCCCCAGCCCCCTCTGCAGCCACATTTGGGATAAAAATAGCCAGCTCTGGGAAGAAGGCAATGCTCCACGGAGGAAAACGGCTCCTCCTCTAGACCTGCTCCCTGCTCCCTACCAACCCAGGAAGACGGACCCCTTCCTTCAGAGGAGGCTGGCAGGGATATTTGTGGGCAGGTCAGGGAAACAGAAAGGAATGGAATCCAAGATCCCCAGCTCACTTGCCACCAAGACCACCCCTGGCCACCTGCCATCGCTAAGGACAAAACACAGGACTCACTCCCCAGCTCTGAGCTCCCAGAGCCACCACCTCTCTTTGCACCCTTGCTTTTCCTTACGCACAGAGACCTCCACCCTACAGAGACAAATCCTACGAGCCGCAAACTCCCTCCTCCAGGCACCCAAACCCTTGGACCCCCGTTACTCCTCTCACCCCCACAACTCTCTGAGCGGTTCTCCCCTCTCCGCTGCTCCATAAGCTTCTCCTCGGCACTCCCGCGCCCCTTCAGCACCCCACCCTCCCATCCTGCGGACAACCTCCCGACCTCCTCCATCCTCAGGCACCCCGACGCCCTCTCTTCTCCGATCATCCACTCCTCCTCCTCGGTCTCACCGCCGCTCCCACCTGTCCTCTCCTGCTCACACCCCCCGCCCCGGCCCTTCCAGCCCCGAGTCCGCGTCCGCAGCCGCATCTCCCTCTACCCTCCCGGCCCCGAGCCCTTGGGCTGCCCCCGCCTCGCCTCGCCTCACCTCACCTCAGCGCTCAGCGCTCGGCGCCCGCCCCGGCGGCCCTGTCCTGCCCATGCCGGGGGCTGGGGCGGGGGGCGCTCTGCTCAGCTCCCCGCGGGCTCCCGCCCCCCCCCAGCTGCAGCCCCGCTCCCCCCGGGGCCTCGGCTCGCTACTTTGTGTCAGTTTCGGCCACGGCGGGGCGGAAGTGACGGAGTGGCGGGAGAGGGCGGGGGGCGGGAGGGGGTTTTGGGGAGGGATGAGGGAGAGGGAAGGCGGGAGCGCCATCTTTGTGCGGGGCAGGGGGAGGGTCTTAACCCTTCCGATGTTTAGCACTGCGAGGCCTTGTCCCCCGCCCCACCCACTCCCACATCCGTCCCGCATCAAAAAAAAAAAAAATTAAGAGGCTAGATAGCTCTGAGATTTTTTTTATTTGGAAGAAAGGGAACAGGAGAACGCTGCCCCCTATGCTAAAAGAGCGTCTCCTTCGGGGAGGGGCGTGAGAGCTGGGGAAGCGGTGAACAACGAGAATTTTCCTCAGCGCCAGTTTTCCCTTAACCCTACACTCATTCCCCTCGGAGCCCTCTGTTCCTTCGCCTTCTCTCCTCGCCCTAGCTCATCTCGTAATTCACCCTCTCCGTGAATGACACAGCCCGGAATGTCTAGGTATTGGGTTGTGCCTCGGTTTCTCCGCCTTGCTCTCCCTATCTCTAGGCGCTTGAATGGCTGTGTTCCACTGCAGGCACTCTCTTCTTCCCCCACCCACCACGCCCCCTTGGAGGAGACAGTTTCCCCACCCCTAACTACTACATGGGGGTGGCTGAATCTAGGGGAGGCGCCCCAGTGAGGGTAAAGGCAGGAGGCGCTGAGGTTACGAGAGCTAGGAGTCAGGCAGTGGGGACCAAGCTTTGGAGGAAGTCCCCAGGGTTATGCCCTCCACTGGATGGTCTGTCCCCACTACCCTGCGGATTCCCGTAGCCTTCCTAATCCGGCTCCCAGGCCGCGCACCCTCTGGCGGTTATTTTGACGAACTACGTTCCTGGAAGTCCTCAGGGTCTGAAAACCTGCTTTGCGGTTGGGGTAAAGGGATGAAGATCCTGGGTCCCCGGACTTTATCCTCCAGTTCTCCCTGTCCAGGCATCCTCCCCAGGTTAGGAGGAAGCGATGCCTAGATAAGTAAACAGAAAAGCTGCCCAGAGCCTGGTGTATTAATAAGGAGAAAGAATGTCTTGTCACCAGGGCTGGGTCTCTGGCCCTCTCCAGTGTCCATGAAGGAGGTGAGGGCTGTCATGTCAGAATCATAGCTTACACTCCGGCATCTTAGCTGAGACAGGAGTTTCCAAGTCTGAAGCTTTATGTTGGGCAAACTCTAGATCCTGAGCTGGCTCTGAGTCCTCAGGGTGGTGGAGAGCCACCAGCAACTGGTATGTAGCTGTGCCAAGTGTGGCCCCCACCAGAGGGGCCACCACAGGCACCCACCACCAGCCATTACCAGCAGTGCAAGAGAAGGACAAAAGGATATCAGGAGTGACTCCCCTAAAGGACTGGGGGCAGTAATAACAAGAGCGTTCCCTAAAGCAGTTCCTGGGATGATGTACACCAGGAAGAGGGTGTCTTGGCACCAAAGCATAGCGCTTAGAGAGAAGGAGACCCAAGAGAGCTTGGTCCAGTCTCTTGTCTTAGGAAATTATCTAAATGCCCATTTGGGTTATGAGGTCACTAATACCCCAAAGAGGTAAGATGATCATGTGCCCAAGAATACAGACTCTAAATCTTACTTAGGTTTCAGTGAAAAGTGTGAAGAGGGGAAGGGGGCAAAAGAGAAAGAGAGAACTGGGGCTTAGAGGAGGGACACTGTCCTAAGAGGCCAAGAGAAC